TCTTTCCAAAAACGCTCTTTGTTCATCCATCTCAATACACAAGCACTACGCGTTTGACACTGACACTTTTGAGTTTTTTCAGGTATATTGTTTCCATGGTACTACTTATTTAATTTGAGAAATTTTGTGATTGGTGTGCAAGTGGGAATAATGACCATTAATCCCTGCGGGAATAATATATGGCATTATACTGCCAAAGTCACAAATATAATACTTATATTATATGTCAGTCGTAAATAATAGTACATTATACACCTAGGGACTAAAGTGGTACTTTTAATCCCGAGACAAAAAGTTATAATAGCCCGACCGAAGGGAAGGCTATAATTTATCGAGGGATTAAAAAACACTTTGGTCCTGAGGTGTATACACTATTTTATGCAATTAACTTTATTTCCCGGGGATTAAATAAAACAGGGAATAAAAGGGTAGTTTTAATCCCCGGGAAATAAAGTAAAATTTAATCCCCAGGAAATAAAGTAAAAATTTAAACCCTTGGGAAATAAAGTGAAATTTAATCCCGGGGATTAAAAGACCAACTTTACTCTCTTAAAACAGGGATTAAAAGGGTACTTTTAATCCCTGAAGTGCATAAACAATAATTTCGTTATCAGCTAAGAAACTTTTTTTTATATTGGAACATGTTATCCCAGGGGCGTCGCGTCGGGGGGGAGGGGGGGGGGTAATAGGGGTAATTACCCCCCCAGGATCCAATAATCAAGGGAAAAATCACGATGCCCAAAAGAAAATACATAATAATATTGAAGAAAATATTTTTTTTTTTTTGTTTTATTTTCCTCACAAAGGAAATATTTGTTCTGGAAAAGTGAATGACCTTGAAATTTGCAAAAAATTTCGCCTGCGGCGCGTTAGCGAGGGTCGCATCTTCCCATTACCCCATTACCCCCCCAGACTACAAGTCACGCGTCGCCACTGTGTTATGCTATCTATACTTTTCTTATGTTTTGTTATTTTTTGGGTGTTTGAAGTTAATTTTTGTTTAATAATTCAAGGTCAAGTCTTTTTTTCTTTAAGAATATTATATGGAAATATTAATTTTTTGCTCTTTTTATTTGCTTTGTCATCTTTGTTTTTTTTTAAGGTTTCGTTAATCTTCTCATGTTTAAAATTAATTAAAATTATTTCGTATTCCCTAACATTTATTTTCGCTTTTCTGACCTATTAAGAGTTATCTGTGCTTTAGGTATTGCAGCACCTACATTTTTTCGAGATCGAGAAATCTCGAAAAAATTTCTCGATATCGAACTGTTTTTCTCGATCTCGTCTCGAAAAAAAAAATCAGTCTCGTCTCGAAATCGAGACTGTCTCGAAATCGAGACGAGACGAGACGAGAAATCTCGAATTTCGAGAATCTCGTGAAACCCTAATGTCGTCATTGTCGCTCTTCAGAGCTTAGCTTAAACAAGGCATTAAAGAGGTGCGTCAAAGCCATTGTGAACGATTCCTATTCGTTGGTGAAGAAGTCTACGTCATATACTGGCGTCATTCCAGTACGTTTAAATATGTAGTATAAAAGCAGTACATATTATATTAACAGTATTTTTATTTTGGTTCATACAAAAATAATAAATCGATGAAATTCAAATATTATGGTGAAGCTCCCGATTGGTTGTATTAATAAATTGAAGTTGACAGAGCTGTATGTTGTGTTATATAACCATAATTAATTTGCAAAAGTAACCAAGTTTTAAATTTAATATAAGCGACAGCAGGTTGATGGCGTAGACTAGCAGTCTTGGGCCGGCCGTTGGCACCAGTTGACAGAAGAAGAAAAGTTCTTGCGAAAAAAGAGACCATTGTTTCGAAGTTTATATATTTAGTTCCATTTTAGGAAGCAACATAAATTAACCAGAGTCAACACCGCTCTTCGTCAGTGGGTACTGCGTGCCCGCAAGAAGTCCCCCTTTTGCTTGCAGATAAACATTTTTACTTTTACTTAGAGAGTGGATGTGGATTGAACCATCGGTAATCTTGTTGAAGCATTATTGCTAATTAAGAGTTTGCAAATTTTTATGTATTATGTGAAAAAAAAATTATGAAATATTTCTGCTCATTGAATGGTAGTCTGGATAATGCGCTGATGTTCATAAACGCATCGTCGCCTCGCCCAATTAAAACTACATTTATTAAAAGCAATAAATAAAAGTGCAGAAAATCAATGTTGTTTCTCCAAACCAATTAGACCATAATTGGTAGTTGCAGATTGCTGAAGGTTAGTGACATATATGGACTTGTATTTGTTTCGAGAATCGATTGAACGGTGGTCCATATGATATTATCTGCCGAGGCGGCCGGACCATTCTGCATCGTCGGCAAGCCAACTCTTTTTTAAAGTCCGACGATGGTATGCCGCATGGACCTCACCTCGGAGTGCCTACTAGTTTTTTTCCCGCACGGAGATTTTTGCCTGTTTGCACGCACGTGCTGAAGCTGGATCCCTCTGTTCGTATAACCACTTGTCCCTTGGATTTTTTTTCTCTTTTGCTTTACCGAACGAATAAATTAATTAAAATTCAACATACCTCGGACAAATATTTATTTGGGCAATTAACCACAAAAATTTTGGACTCCCCGAACTCCGCCCGACATCAAAAACCCTATGGGCAAACTCGTCAAGAATTATATGGTCAATTTTTGTTGTTCCTCAGAGGTAGTCGAAGGTAATGTTAATACTGAATCTATGGCGCAAAATTTGAATGAGAAAATGAAAATGGGGGACACTGTCTTAATTTCATCAAGATCACTCAGCTTTTTGACCTATTTGTCTGTGAATAATTTTCCCTTTTACATCTATCAGGTAATATAATAATCCAGCTTGTTCAATAATAGCTCCTTTTTAACGGGGTTTTTCATCATAGTTTAGTATCTTGACTATCTGACCAGGTGTGTACGATAGGATATTCCTCTCAACCTGCTTGTATCGTGACCTATCTTTTCTACTATAAGGAGTTATCAAGGCAGCTGTTTCCCGGTCTGCTAGTTCGATGTTCAACATTTTAATGATCAATTCACTTGTTTCCATCGCAAATGTCACTACAAGGATGCAGCAGCTGTTGAGCACTTTGGTTTTGAGGATTAAGGATATATCCGGATTTTTTGGAAAAAAATGTCATTCTAAGGTGTTTAATAATTTCCACCTACATATATTTCTCTACTTTTTCTGTATTTATATGTATCGCGGTTTCGTCTTCCAATTATTCCGATTAAATTTCGAATAGTCCTCTTGTACTGTTGCCTATCATAACGACGTCAATATGTCACATCGAAGTTATCTAGGATACTTGCCACCTACACACTATAAACTGGAATGAACCATTAGCTGGTCGAAGTGTGGTAGCTACGGAGCATGCGAGAATAATCGAAAAAAATTGTTCGTTTGACCGACGGCGCTGAATGGCATAAAACATTTCATCTTCAAGAGATTGCAATATTTACCTCCAAAACTTAATCACTGCTTTTCTCATTCATTTTCCAAAAAATAAACAGCTGCCCCTATATAAACGTACGACGTATGTCAAATTTGTTTTACTTCAAATGTCAAATCAATATTAGGTCACTCGGAACACATTTTACTGCTCCGATTATGGAAGCTCGTGTAAGCGAGCAGCACACCAACTTATTTACTTATGCAATAATGTCGTTTACAATATTGAACTGAAAATGTAAAACGAACAAATTAGTGCAGATTTTGAATAAATTATGCTCTTGGAGCTAATTCCCGAACTCGGTAATTGATGCTGCCATCCAGCGAGAAGAAAAGGCGAAATTAATTACAAGAACATAATAGCGCTGGTTGATGCCACTGCCTTTAGCGAGAAAAAAACAAACAAATAACCCTATACATAAATATCTTTGTGTCAAGTGTTGATGACAATAAATTCCAAATTATAGACCGCTTGAAGATAACCACCGTTTTACTCTTCACGGAACCTGGGATAATCGTCGCTGCTTCAAAATAGAGAGGCGTCAAAGTTATGGTCATCTGTCTGCTTTAACTCACAAACTACCTTTCAACATTCATTATCGTAAATCCATATCGGAAAATTTTCAATTAATGTTTTTAGCACTCCTAAAGCTTTTTTGCTTATACCTACGTGGCTCTGAGAGCAAACTTCTATGTGAAAAAAGACATGCAATGATCATAAATATCTTCACTTAGTAATGAAAAAAAATACAACCCATAAATCTTAATAGACGGTAGCCATCTAGAAACCCCTTTTGTACTCTAAAAGCCAATTAATATCTGATTTCATTATATTGGATGGGCAAAAGCGCGCAGGTTTGCCTTTCTATGGAATAATCGGATCGGGGTCCGCACGTGCGCGAGTATTGTTATCTCCTGAAATAACTCAGTTGAGTTGAGCTAGTTCACTTCAATCTTGCCATACGGTATCGAGTTGGCGACATCCATTATTCAACCATCCTTTCGATTAATGGGCACCGAGAGCTTCTTACACTACCTTGAAGATTGGTGCGTTTGCCCATCATGGTATTCTCGCAAAAAATACGGGCTCTCCTGACGAACAAGGTCTTTTAAAAAGTGAAATGGGCTTTTTGCTGAATTTGTTAAGATTGTTTTGGATTTTGGTACCGAAACAAGTCAAAGAACTTTGCGGATAAGTTATAAATAAATTTTATTTCAAATAAAATCTTAAGGCTACATTTTTTTAACTAGGGTTTTTTTTTCATGAACAGCAATCCGTTATCATTCGAACAAATGAACTTTGGGGGCAAGAAGGTATTGAAACGGACATATTAAGTCTTATTTAGGGGTGGCATTTTCCGTGTTAAGAGTCTGAGGGGACGAAAATTTTGCCTTTAGGACCTTTTAGTTGCACTTGTCCTGTTCTAAAGAATGGAGGGTTGGCATGAATGCCAGTTGCTCCTTTAAGTTCTTGAGAATTTCACGTTGACATTTGAAAATTTTTGAAAATGTTGTGCGGTTTGAATTACACTGATTTTTTGTTAAATTTTTCCAGAAAACCGGCGGTTGATGAAGTTGGAAATCCGTCTTCAGTTAATGCACGGTAAGTACCGAATTAAATTTAATAATTTATTGATGTTTGAAGATTTTATTTCTATTTAACCCCTATTCAAGATTAAAATCTTGATTGTGTACGATGTAATCAAGACACCAATTAAAGAATAACATTGGGCAATCTTAACAAATCAAACCGGTGGAAATTCTTTTCTAGCATCTATTTTAAAAATCCATTCCTCTAACGCAATCAATTCAGACATGGCACGAGGACGCTGAAAATGTCTAATTCTTGCTGCTATTAAAGTGCTATAATAGCAATCTTAGCAAAATACCTCCATAAAATAAAATTCTTCAATCTGCGTCGTAAAGATTAAAGAGTATTGAAATTAAATCAAACAAGACACCTGTTGCAAATAATTGTGCCATGTTTATGTACAATCCTTACAAATTATGCATATAAACATTAAACATTATAGTACAGAAAAAGCTGTGATAGTAGGTGATTTATTATGTCAAATAGGTAAATATTTAATAATGGGCCAAAATATGTTTTTTTGAATTTTGAAATTTATCATGCATGCTTATAACATATTGAAATAAATATTAGATCAGGTCTCAAATATTTTCCTCTCTTGTGAAATTACTTTTAAAAATTTCTTGGTGACATCAATTTGATGATAATGGTATAGCTGCACAATCCAATGCTTTGTGTTTCTTACGAGAAGTCGACAGTGTTATCCACCTGGAAGCTGTAGTTATTTTCTATTTCTTCACAGCCATCTTCTAGTTCGTTTATTGCTAACTTCTATGCCATAATCTCAAATGTACACCTTAGATGTTATTTTAGCATTAATCCTTTTGTTAGGACCTTTTACGGCTAACTAGGCCCATACCCTTCTTGAAGCCGCAGCTATCAGTGTCAAGTCAAGCTTTGAAGTTCTTTGTCAAAAAAATAATTGCTGTGATGTGATATTAGGTTGACGCATACTTGTTCTGTTTTTCCTCTGGGTTTCAGAACACTTATTTCTCCAAAGCTGGAATGAAGTCAGGTCCAGTAGGTGCAAAAATCCGGAAAATCAAGGATATTGCGGTGGTATCTACCAAAACGTAACGGAACGTAATGTGAGATAAATATAGTAATTCGAACTGTTCCTATATCTGTTGCCATTTTAAAAAAGGAAGACAAGGTCCGATGTGGAAACTACAGAGGAATATCTTTACTTTCTGTTGCGGGAAAGATACTTGCCAGGATATTTTCCAATCGTCTAATCTCAACTGCCAAAGAAAACCGAGGCACAGCTGATTTTCAGTGCAAGACAAATGCAAGAGAAATCTAGGGAACAAAATCGCCCTACACATGGCCTTCATAGATTTAGTGAAACCATTTGATTCGGTCAACAGAGAAGCTCTATGAAAGACATTGGCAAAGGTTTGGGTGTCCGCAAAAGTACATCCAGATACTCCGCCTGCTGCATGATAATATGAATGTAACCGTCCCAAGCAACGATGGACAAGGATAGTCTTTTTTAATAACTACAGGCGTTAAACAGGGCTGCGTTATTGCACCCACTTTATTTTCTCTATTTATAGGATCCGTACTTCACCTTGTCGAAAGTCACCTGCTCCGTCGTGGACTACTTGAGCCTATCATTTGCTGTCGTCTGCCAATTTCTGGTATCGACGACATATTCTTCCTAAAAACATTCTTCTAGCGTTTTTGTTGACCTCCTTGATTTCATTTTCCCTCTTTCAGTTGACTGTAGAGAATCTGTCGTGGAAGACGTGTTCCGGGCATGCGGACGAGGTGACCTGTTCAACGAAGTTGGTTCTTCATTAAGCATGGAAGCCCTCATCATTATGAGGGCTTCCATGCTAGTTGTTTTGGCCTCCGTTAAAACACTAACGTTTGTTCGTTGGGCTTGCCATTTAATCCGTACAATCCTTCTTAGGCATCGCTGGTGGTATTTTTCTAGGCTTTTTATGTGCCTTCGGTAGGTAGTCCATATTTCGCAGCCATATGTTAGTGTTGGTATAATAACTATATTTTACCGCGAAGTTTGGTCTCAGCGCTGATGTCGTGACTCTCTGTAGAAGCCGCCCAAAAGCTGCGCTAGCACACTTCAAGCAATGTTTGATTTCAGCGTCAATGGTTGCATTTGCTGCCAGATGGCTCCCATCAAGGTATGAGTAGGTAGTTTTTGCGTTCTGCATTCTGCAAGGAATGGTCATTTATAGTTATAGTTGGGGCTTGGGGATTAGTCTCCTGTGTGGGTTGGCTCAGAATCTGCGTCTTGTTAAAGACCTGACCGTTGTTGACCTCTAGGCCGATTCTCCTGTGTGCCTGCTTGAATGCATTGATAATTGCCTGAAGATCTTCCTCTGCATTGGTCATCACGACGTTATTATCCGCATATTGAAGTTCAATTATCGATGTTGTCGATACTTTCGACTACGATTAATACACATTCTGTGAAATTTCCTTGGCGGCGTATGCAGAATGGGTCTCTATAGTTTGTGAAGAACAGTTTTGCTGTAATTTCTTCCTGGAAAATGGAAAGTTTTCCAATTGCTGCTAGGATATTCCAATCGCTGACCTGCTTGCTTTTTCAACAAGAAATTCTGCAATTTATTTATCGTTTAGAGCGAATCTTTGTTCAAGTCGTCAGAAAATTCATGGTAAGACGAACCCAGTATAATATGATAGATCCCTTGTGCACAAATTACCTATTACAAAGATGAAAAATACTTTAATGTATTGCTGTATTTTGTCATTTCATTATACGTTTCTTTACGCCAAAAGAAATGCACGAGCGTACCATTCTGAGAATCCCATTATGTTGAGAATATCGAATCACAATATTTATCAATTATTCACAATATTTTCGCCGCTGTGCTGGGAGATGCCTTTTCCTCAATTCCCCCGTGAAATATCGGAGTGTGCATTAAGCGGTTTTTTCTTTTATTTTTTCTCCCATTGCAATGTCGTATTTTATCATTTTTCTCTCGTATTATTTTCCCTAGGAAACGTTACGAGTGCCTATCGAGAGAAAAACACATTGATGTTCAATTCTTTATGTTATGGAACCAAAAGTGGTAAAAACTAAAATTAAAGGGAAATTGGATATCATTAAATATTTTTGAGGCTGATCCCCGTATAATTTGACAGAATTATTGGCTTTTAATATGCATACTCAAAGATAAAAGGTTCGTCAATTGCGGCAAATTTAAAATGGCAGGTATTAAGTATACCTACCGAGTATGAAGAAGATGTAAATAGGCAGAAGCTTTAAAATTGCAATTATGGTGACTCAATAATAATACCAATCAAAAATGCAATTATTAATAAAAATTGCTTTGTTAAAACTATATAATTACTATACATATCAATTTGCTTATAGTCTTGTCATGATACTATGTGGGACTACGGATTGTATTTTGGACGTTTTCTTTAAAAAATAAGTTGTTATTCATCATAATGATTGATAATGAGTTTTCACGTGATGTAAATCTGATGCGGCGGCTCAGAATATTCGACTTCTTCTGAGTCTTAATAATTCCCAAAGAATGTAGAGCCAGCATGTTGGTTAGTTCGATTTTTTTCTGACAAATTGATTTATCTAAAAGAAAATGATATCAAAACAATGCAGATCAGCCCTGATAAATTGTACCCTGTATATATTTGCCCTAATAAAATATAAATCTATGCCGTCTCAAATCTCCCCAAAATGCGGTGGCGACCCGGGCATTATTTGCGTTAATCCCGGCATTGGTCACGGGGCCTTTCGAGATCTACTTTTTAATGTTCCGTTGTGGTTTCCAATCATAACCGGCTTACCGCTATAACTCCCCACTAAAATGGACATAGACCATTAAAACCCTAACTCGGATTCATCATTTATCTTCTGTTTTCTTTGCATTAAAATTTTGGGTTGTAGTGGGCTTATTCAGTACAAATTGGCATTAAATGCGTTGTTGAAATTGGTTGCTTTTTTTACCTACATTGATTCAAGCTCAAAACTCAGATCTTAACGCCTATTACACTAATCCAAAAGGAAAGTAAGTTCCTCTATCTCATTTTCGAATAATCAAAAGCCATTGCCTTAAGGTTATCGAAAAAAGCGAGAGAATAGTATTAAAGTGTATATAAAGGTTCGACTCCATATGTGAACCGTGCAGAATGAATCTGGATAAGAATCTGGAAAAACTTAGGGGTGGCTCAGTTCGATACAGATATCGTGTCTTTTATCTTAATTTATTTTTGGCTTCTGCCATGATTTGGCTGTCATAAAAGTAAATGAATTGTATTTAGGAGCAGATTTAAAATTTTCACGTGAAATCAGAGTTAAAGTTCTATGTCTATGGAGTTTTTTTTTGTGCGTAGATTTTTAGCATACCTATATATTCTTTATTGAATAAACTAAAAAAAAATCTTCAGTTTAGCACCCAATTTATAATAATTATTAGAAAAAAAAAGAGCGAGCCTGCTACTACTCCAGCCCCTAATGTGTAAATATCTTGTGAACGATAACTATGGATAACTGAATTGTGATTGGGATTTGTGAGTATTGGTATCAATTTTAAATCTTATAACTTTATAATTTCGTAATATATGTCATGACAATATTCCGTAACCTCAAAATACTTCAATAAAACCGCACTGCACACCATTTTATATTTATAGTAAAATTCCTTAATAATATGTACTTACTGACAGCTTCAATCGGAGTGGAATAATTCGCTGCACACATTTACAGCGATCTACTATATCGACATCATCGACATGAAAATCTAATGCCACCTTAGGCCGCAAGCGCTGAAGTAGCTGCGCACTAATCACTGCGCATGGGTTATGATGTAACTTTCGCTCACACATTTCCGTTTCCATTTCCCAAGATTCACCCTCATATCGCCGTAAAAGATGTTTACACATCAAAAATCAGATAATATGTACATGCATTGAGTCTTACCACTATAAGGAATAGCGTTCCTTCGTTTCTTACGTTACAAGAAAATTGAATGTGACTTATTGCTATGCGTAACTGAATA